GAGCTACAGCATGTATGTTATGCAAGTACTGAAAGGCTGTTAAATTCTGTGAACGTTGGCGGCCCGTGGCTAAATTAGCCCGAGTCAGGTCGTACAAAACAGCCATGCATGTGCCCCACTGCTTGACTGGAGCAGACAAAGGAGGCCCAACCTGAGGAGGACAATTTATTTGGGTGGTCTAGTTAAAGCCTAGTGCTGAATGGGCAATAGTTCTGGCTAGAATGCTAATGAGCCTATTCCCCTCCCGGATGGAGACATCAAAGGCAATAGGAGCTCCTTCTCTCTAGCTACGCAGGGCTTCATGATGCTATATGCTTCAGTGTAGGCTGGCATTCTTATGCTTGTTTGTAAGAAAAAGACAACCAAGGACAGGGAGGAAGAGACAACATAGTGTTTACATTAGGTCTATTCTTTTGGGACTGAGCCAGCATCCAGCCATGCTGTGACACCCATCACACTAGCAACCTGGTACCATTCATAATTACCCTGGATTCACAGAGGCCTCATTTAGCGTGTTATTATCAGAGATCATTGCTATTTTCCTCTATATATGTATGTAATCCCAGTGAGACCAACATGTCTAACGGAGATAACGTGCTATTTTGGTTAACCCCATTGTGTACATAATACTGAAGACATACAACCCAAAAAGAATTCCCATCTGTGATTTCAAAGGATTTAATAGAGTATCAGGACATACAAATCTTCAGTAATGTCTTTTTTCTGCCTTCTGCCCAACTAGAGGGGAGGGGTTGGAGGACAAATTCAACCAGGGTCTTATTTTTTACTTATTTCCACCCTAGCGTTAGTTGAAGAAGTCTTGGCTAATGCTGTGACCAACTATCAGTGATAAGTTGTGCAGAGAGCAAAATAAAAACATATAGGGGAATAACAAAAATTCCTCAAAGCCATGTAAAGTCAGGAGAATGTTCCAAAGTGTGTACGTGTTAAACTAACTTTCCATACATAAAGTAAAGACTGTCCAGGTTTCACATAGTGAACTGGCAGGAGGCCCACCTCCAGAGCAGTGAGTACTAAACATGGCTCAGGTGTATGAGGCCAGCATGATGGATCATCCTGTTGTGAAGCTGACCCTCTGCAGAACCCTGAGAAGACAGCTGGGAGATAAGGAGGGCCCTATACGAGAGCACATCTCCTCTTCACATCGATCCTCACTGCCACCAAGGCAGGAGGTCTTCGCATGCCAAACCACAGACAGAGGTGGTGTGGTGTGGGGGGGGCAGGGTGAAAACACAGAGCACAGCTTGCAGGTTTAGCAGCCACCCTCAAGTGATAAAGACACTGGAAGATAAAAGCCCTGTGGGCTCTCTGTAGATAAAAGACAAACAGTGTAGAGCTTTGTTTTGAGGGTAAAATAACATTTTCAGCTTTGTTGCAGATAACCGCTATCTCTCCCTGGTTATAATCATCTCCTCATTTAGCATGGCCAAACTAACAAGAATAATCTGCAAAAGAATGCACATGAAAGAAATAAGATAACAGACTTGCCATCTTAATGCAAAGTCCTATTCAATGACCTACTTGCATCTGTGCAATCACAACTTGTAGCTCCTGATAAGTAAAACAATTTCCTCAGCCACCCAAAATATCTTTTGTTCAAAAGTTGATTTAGCCGCTTAGCCTGATGCACCATCATCAATAAGAAGCATCTCACATACAGTGATGTCCTGTCTCTGTCAACTGATGGTACCGCTGCCTACTCCTGAGATGCCTTCAGAGTAGAAGCCATCCTTTAAAGGCCATCCCCGTTGCCGTTACTTTCAGTCAGATGTCTTTCTTTGTTGCTATCAAAAGGAATAAGTAAGTGCTCAGGATAAATCCAGTGAGCAGTATTTGAATAAAAATGTGAATCCAGCTTCTGAATCACTTGCTGCTCTGCAGAGCAGAGGAACATAGACAACCTTTTTCCACTAACCTCTTGATAGACAAGTAGTACACCTCTAGTATAACCATTGTTACTGTGCACAGCAAAAATAGTCACAGCTGTAGCCTCAAAATATTTAGGAGATAGTTTAAAATGCTGTACAAAAGAAACTGTCCCTGACAAAAACTAGACTAAAATACCTAACTAAAAATCAAATCACCAAAGTTTGACTAAAATGTATTAAATCCAAATAAAAATGAGGCACAAAAATCATCACTTTTAAAGAATAAAAGGAAACTTTTCTCTCCTAAAAACAGCGCTAGCTACAATTAGAATTCCCCTGGCGTTAACAAGCACACCTGCAATCAACTGAATGTTTTCTTGCAACGTATGACAGTAATCGATGCATACGATCTCACGTTCCAGTGTTGACAGCTGTAAATTCAACTTCATTTTTGTTGCTGCCATGTTGAAGCGGAGCAATCTGATACCTTAATACCTTTTATCAGTTGAAAAAGAGCCTTCATCAATCAACGAGGCTGCGTGTTCTAAGATTTCGACAACCGTAAAAAGGTTATTGGCCCCAAAATAATGAAAACATAATGGCAAAGAAAATAGCTTCTTGTGTTTCTCTTTTCATGGCAAATCATTACTGAGACTGACTGCAGCACAGAGAGTCACCAATCAGAAGAGCAGTATAAACTGCCTTACAGAGCCTGGGTCTGCAATGAAGATGCACGTCAGTGACCTCTGATGTCAGTCAGAAGTTGTTCAGTTTTGCACTGAGGGCTTCTTCGCATCACTGATTTATATAGGGATGCCACACCACTATGAAATAGCAGCTGGAAGGTTTGGACAATGCATGAGAAGATGAGGGCCACTCCAGGCTGCATGATGCGAATATGATTTCAGCAGCTCTCAGTCCACTCTATTGGACACTGCACTGAGCCGTTTTCTGTGTTGTTGCTTTATGCCAATCCCTTGCCTCTAATGACTCATTTCATGCTAGGTGTTGCATCCTAATAAATAAATACAAAAAGAATCCCCTGTCCCCAAGTGAAGTGCCAATTCTGCCCATTTCTTGAAAAATCACTATCATTTTAAAAGCTTGAACAGCATTTGTGAAATCAGTTTATATATAGGTACATACTGTACAAGACAGCTCAGAAGTTTACCAGCCAAAAAAACCTCACCCAAAGCCTTTAGCTCATGTTTCAAAAATATATCATTTTTGTCAACTAATAAGTTAACCCTGCCAAAACAAAATGCCCTTTACCTTTTGTAAGTCAAGGGTCTCAAAAGGTTTAGCCATTTTATCACTGTGGAGCACTTCAAGTAACATGTAGAAACAATTTTCCTATGATACAAAAATTCAATATAGTACGACTGAGTTGTGCTGTAAAACCAGGGGAAAGCAGAGCACAGCACTGTATAAAGACAGGAAATGTGCAGTAATGTTACAACAAGAATATGTACTGTGGAAACAAAATATCCAACAAATGTGTATGGAACTGTGACAAGCAAGGATTGTCCGGTGTGCTGTATCCATCCCCTGCGTACTTCTGCTGTGATATCTTCACATGCAACATGGTGTGCTGTATCCATCCCCTGCAAAGTTCTGCTGTGATATCTTCACATGCAACATTCATGACATCTTGCAATGTCATTTAGTCTAATAGTCTATAATCGTATACTTCCTACCTCCATGCAGAAAAAAAACATCCTCAACTGGATTCCAGATAGGAGAGTGTAGTGGTAATAACTTCCTCAACATCCTTGGTTGATGTGGGACACCCCCCTTAAATGAAGCTCAAGTTTAACTTAACAAACCAATTTATTTTTTTTTATCAGTTTAGCTGATTTTACAGTATGATTACTCACTTCAGAAAGTATTCACACCCCTTCAGTTTTCCACATTTTAAATGTTTTGTAAATTTGTTTTAAAATGGGAAAATGAAATTTATAATGCAGTTAATGTGCAAAAAGTGAAAGGGTGTGAGTACTTTGTGAAGCAGCTATGCATGTGGGATTCAAAGCAGTTAAGGGGCTGACATTTTGCAAACTGCATCGACTAATGTGTATGTGAATAGTGAAGTAATTCTTACATGATTTGGAATGCAAGACTGTTTAACAGAGAAGCAACTACTCTATTTTGATCAAAAGGACATATACAACTGATAAATATTCAAATTGTACACAAGTGTACTTAATCGTTTGCTGAAATGTGTTCATTTCTATTTGTAGGAAAAGAATGAGAAATGCTGCTATGTTGCAGAAACTAAATGTTGAGTACAATGTTGTGAAAACGTATTTAAAAACTGGGCCAAAGTTAACAAGAAAAACTGTAATATGCTGTGTTTAGATAAACAAACTACTTTATAAAACTAATTTGAAAGAAATTTGTCAGAAAATTATATGCAGTTTAACAAATCATCCTCAGCATCTATTTTTAGCTCAATGCCCACAAAAACACACAGGAATTAGACACAGACTAGATAAATGAGATATACAGCATCAGATTAGTAACTGTACTAATGCTGTGTCACCCTATGTAAGTGAAGGCTCTCATGATACAATGCTAATGCTGAGGGCATTGACCTTATTTGACTGTCAAACCATTCCTACATTCCATTAAAATTTCCCTTTGGACTAAAATTTTACATTTTGCATCTAACTGTTATGCCCCAATCTCTCTCTCTCTCTCTCTCTCTGTGTGTAGTGAAGAATGATTATTTCAATCATGTCACCATAAACCTCAAAAGGTGGGTTGGGCAGTAACATTCTACTGGAGTTCTTTCCCCATTTCTCCCATACCATGGTTGACTGCCTTGGATTTCCCCCATTGCTTTGATGATAATGTTCTTCGGCAGGCCAAAGTAATGGCCATGTCTCAGCGTGGCACAGTGCAAGGTTGCTCTGGAATACACTTTCACATCTTGGCGCACATTCAGCCACATTTAACAAAGACACGTGAAACAAAATGGACACCAACATCTTCCATGAACTCACATAAGAGTATAGATGCATCTGATCTGAAAAGTGCCGCTTTCATTGCTCTAATACCACAGGAACAAACAATGAGCAGATATAATGAAAAACAAAAACATGCACTCACCTCCCCCTCCTCCCAGAAGACTGGAGTTTGCTGAAAAGAAGAAAAAGAGTTGGTAAACTCCAATGAATAATCCGACATGAATGATTCAATATAGTCAGCAATATTTTGATATTTTAGTTCGGATTATTTAACCACACAAGCGACATTTATTTTCTTGAATACACCTGTTTGACCATCTAAACCTATACACATTTATCAAATGTGTCAGTCATATGAACAGAGCTGCTACTTACACAGACTGAGAACAGGACACGATTCATGCAAATATTCATTATATTGTCACAGCACTAAAAAGAAAACTGAAAAACTTCATGTTATGCCTCACTTTATGATCAGTAGCTGCTCAGGGATCATATAAAGGAGAGAGGAAGACTGTTGTTAGAGCACCAAGAAGAGCTGGAACTCAGCCTGAATGATTATGCTGTGATGTTACTGATTTTTATACCACTTTCTCAGTTAAAACCTGTAATCACACATTTGAATATTTGTGTCTGCCAGTACAAGATCTAACATTTTGATGGTAACTTCTAACAACACCCCAGTCATCCAAAGGCAACAAGAATGTCATCCAACAGTTTGTTTATTGCATCTCCAACAGACAAAAGTGATCGGTGTGTGTGGCCAATGTTTTTTTTCTTCCATTATTAATTTGGCAACAAATATGATTTAGTCAGCAGCTAATTTCAGTATATACACTCCTTGGAAGATTTCTTCTTGGGCAACATGTTCGGGTCAATAAAATAGGCAGTTCATTAAAAACAATTAACTGTAGTCTGTTTGAGATAGTTGTGTCCACTGTTGTACAACAGGGATATCCAGACTTCACGTTGGCTTTGTGGGGTCAGTTTTTATCTTACAGGAAAAAATGTCACAAATCTTTAGTGTGTAACTCCTCTCAGTTCACGTACAATCAGCCATATCATTATGACCACTGACAGGCCACGTGAATAACTTGATTATCTTGTTACAATGGCGTCTGTCAGTGTGGGGGGTATATTAGGCAGCAGGTGAACTTTCAGTCCTTGAAATTTGTGTTGGAAGCAGGAAAAACAGGTAAGTGTAAGTATCTGAGTGATTTTGACAGTGGGCCAAACTGTGATGGCTGACGACTGGGTCAGAGCATCTCCCAGACTGCGTTTCCAGTCTGCAGTGGTCTAAGGACAAACAGTGAACCAGCGACAGGGACATGGATGCCCAAGGCTCAGCGATGATGAAGCTGATCTACTGTATTTTAAATGTCCTTCTCAAAAGATTAAAATGTTTGAATCTTTAAGACGGGTGAAAATAAATACCATGCATCAGTGTCTATGAAGAGAATCATTCAGCAGCTCTAGTGGTGATATCACACATAAAAAAAATCATCTCTAACTGGTCCTCACAACCAGTTTTCACAAACATTTTTCCATGCATTTTATTCCATGTTCTTTCAGACAGTACAACTATGGAAGCAAACAGATTCACACAAGATGCACTGTGAGCACAAAGTGACTCAAGTGCCAACCAACTGCTGCATTGACTACTGTGTACACCGTATTAGGCAGGCGGTCATAATGATATGGCTGATCAGTATCCTCTAGAGTCCTGAGCTTTGGAAACCCAAGCTGTGCGGTCCTCATATGAGGACGCAGGGACTCTAGAGGTTATACGAGGCTTGTAATCTTACAGAGTGCAGCTTCGTTATCACGTGACACACAGTATGTAGAACATCCTCAAAGCCTAACTCACTGTTATTCTGCAGTCAGTTTTAAAACAGTTGAGTATGACCTAATCCTTTGTTGTTCATATGAATCTGCAACATTGACCATAGTTTAATGATTCAACAGATTCAGAATCAGCTTTATTGGCCAGGTGTGTTGAACATGAGGAATCTGACTCCGGAATGTTAAGAGCATCGTAAGGCAATGAGTAAACAAGTAAACAAGATAAGATGGAACAAAAACAGAAAAAGGATGTGCAAACAAGAAAAAGGAATGTGCATCAGGAAAATAAAAATAAAGTACTTATAAATATGGAACTATACACACAGAAGACAACCTTCTTGTGCTACCTAAGTGGAGTGTGCACCATTAAAAATGAACCTATTACCATTTTGCTGTGTAAATTAGAAATGAGGAGACACATTGGAGGGCATTTAAAGTACATCTGTTAATTTGAGTGTAGGTATCTTATGCGTTTGAAGTGTAGTTCACACACCAGGCACTGGATGAATCATACACTGCAACATGCCTTTAATGATCCTCAGTTCCAGCTCCAGTGTTGGCTGTCATTAGCAGTGAACACTATCCCATTCAAAGCTTATTATTTTTCAAGAACTTTTTGGTGTGCAAGCAACAGATAATGAACATGTGGTATCAGGGAGAGCACAATCACAGCATAGTTCTGTTGCTTTTTCCAGCTTGATTATGTGTAAAGGGGACTTCTGTAGTTCACTCAATTTCCATACCTTTCTGTGGCACCATTACAGCTTTGCATTGTTCTCATTTAAGCACCACACGAGTGGGTAGAGGGACAAAGAAAGCTCTTCCACTGTAGAATCTGTTTCATTAAAGGGCTTTGTGTGTGCGCCCGTGCACATGCAGTGTAAGCATAACATGCACACACAAAAAACTGCAACTCAAACAGGGATGTACTGACAATCTACTGTCATGTTTACAATAGCACCTCTCCAGGTTGTTCTGTGATGAAAAAGACGCTCGTGCTCTCCCAGTCTTTGTTTAGCTCTGGAATCTGTCAGCCATCAACAGCAAGCGCATAGCTCAGTTGGGCATCATCTTCAGAATAGCCTTTAAAAGGCATGGATAAATGTAGTGAAAAGACTATTACCAGCGATGCCTTTGATTTTAAAAGCTTAGAAACATAAGAAATGCACGGCAGCAGCTTTCTTATGATTTAGATATATTAAGATGGCCGTTGTTTATTTATTATCACTACAGTGAAAGTAATAGTTTCAGTGCCAGTTCAAATCAAGCTAATAGTATGCTGGTTTTCAGCAAAGTCTATCATCATTTTCTAGTCTCCTGGGGAGTCTTCCTATCCCTGAGCTATTAAAACACTGGGGTTTTAATTACCTGACATTATGGAAATGCATACCTGAGGGGGGCGCTTCATTTACTCCACACCTAATCAAAGATGTGGTTGCTAATCAGTCTGACACAACTGTGTGTATATGTGTGTGAGGTAGGTTAGTAGTAGTGAATGGGGGAGTCTGGGGGTTGAAATGTTAGATGTTTTCAAACCACATCTGACTTGTGTGATCACGGCAACAGCCCACTGGGAGATGGAGATCATTCGACAGTCATCTCATCTCTACAGTGGATTTGATAAATATACAAGTAGAGGGGTGAAAATGCTGTTTTATGCCTTTTCATTTCCTCTCTCCCCGCATCCCCTTTTTTAATGATCAGAATGTCATGAAACGTTTTGGCAGTTTATCTTAAAGCACACTGTGCTGCATATGCACACAAAATATCTGAACCCTACAGAACCAGTGAGTTCAGCCCTCAGCGATACATATCAAGGGAGGCATTAAAATCTCAGAATGCATAGGGATTTGCTTTGACGATCCGTTTTTAAAGCACAAGAGACGAATGAGAAGCAGCTGTTAGAGAAGCCAACCTACAGCATCAGCCCTACACACTTGGCACCAAAGGCTGTGGAGCTTGTGCCTTATTCAGTATGACTTGGCTGAGAAGTGCTTCAATTATCTTGAGTGAAAATCAAAATAGAGATCTGCAATGGCCCACATCCACCCCATAGTGCATATTTTATAGTGTGTGTATTAATTATAAACTAGCTCTCCTTGCTGTGTATGTCTGCCTTGGGCTCAGTCTGGCTATCTTGCAGCGGATCAACACATTTAGGGAAGAAGTGGGAGAGCCAACGATTACTATTATCAGAAGACCATTAACTGTACAGTGGCTGAGTGCCTGCATGGAGAGTTGTGTCTTTGAATATATGTTTTATGGGTTTTGACTGTCATCCTCTTGCTGAAGTCCAACAATTGTTTTTGTGCAAACAGGCATGACAAGACAAGGTAGGACAGTGACAATTTCAAACACATGAACACAAGGAAAAGGAGAAAAAAATTATAGTAACAATTATTAAAAATTAGGGAAAAATACAAAACCAATTATTCAAATTAAATTCAAACTATGCACCTTTAGTACAGTATTAAATATTAATTTTTCTTCAAGGACAGACAAGACCACATCTCCACCTCTGCAGTATTTTGTCTAATGTGATGTAGTTGTTTCAGCGATCGCTGAGCTTTACCATTTCAGAGAACTTAGATATTTCTTACAGTAATGATAAGCCTTGAAGGTTTGCTATGACCCAGTTAATGAGAAGAAAGAAAAGCTGAAGGAGCAGGCTATGGCTTGGAGTTTGTCAGAAGCACTGCTGAGAGTTGTCCCAGTAGTAACCAAAGCATGGGCCATAAATCTCAATGGAAGGGCTCCCCAGAAAGCCCGGAGATGGCAGGTCCTTAGGAACTGCTGGTCCACGATATTAAGCAGGGCCATCACACACATCCCTGCACTGTCACTGTGTGAACACCCACTTTCTCTCTGGCCTTTGAACTCTTAGCCCTCAAGGGAGCCTCATATATTCCCAAGTCAATGACCGTGCAGTGGGGCCACTGCTGTGTATTTTCATAGCAAGAAAATGTTGATAACAGAACTCCTGCCAGAGAGTGTGACAGGCGCAGTTTATGAATTGTGGCACTGCGTCAAGAAGCCAGACCAGACACAAACACAGTGAAAAGGAGCGGTGAAACCATCCTCTTGTCTCAGTGTGTTCATATATCTGCAGAGCAGTCATAAAAGTGGCTTGTGTACATTTCAGTGTGCATGTGTGCAGTGGACAGTGAGGCATGGATCTGGGTTGTGTGTTTGGTGCCGTCAGCAGAGCCCTAGATCATGCAGTTAAATGGGGAGTGCTAGTGCAGAACCACAAAACCAAGGCAGTAAACAGATCCACTGTCAACCTTCTGGTCCCTGCAATCTGAACGCAACTGAACCCTTTAAATATGC